GTAGCTGGTCAGTCATCATAACCGAGCTGGGTTTCCCGAGGGGGGCAGGGGGCAGGCAGAGCTGGATGGGGTGGTAGAAATGTGATCTGAACCTTCCCCCCCCCCAAAGCTACAAGCAATACCCAAGTGGGTTAACCCATGTTGTTCAGTTGAATGTCAGTCTTCCACCTTTGTGGTGTGAAATAATGTTAATGCTTAGATGTTTTCATTTCTTTTTAGTGAGAAACTGCAGTGCAACTGGATCTGATCATGTTTAGACATAAATATGAATTTCCAGGAAGCTGAGTAAATTAGTCCAAGGAAATTGACAACATGCGTAATGTGCACAGAGGCTAACATCTGTTAACTAGGCCAGAGTGTTGTCACTGCTACTGTATATGAAATGGGACCATGTCCCGCAGGACTGTTCACTACAGCAGACCTAAGGACACTCACACATACACACACATGTTGACATTTACACAACAGTCAGGATTATATATATGTAGACAGACTGACAGACATGGATAGACGGATCATCTGCATCTTCCATTGCATTGACCTGTCAATTGCCCTTTTTCTTTAGTGCAATCTACTGCAACGTTGACTGCAGTAACTGAAGTATTTGGTATCTACTGGGAGGATTTTGTGGCAGCTGGCACCTCTGCCTTGTTTGGAATAGTGATGTGGAAGTGCAGCTGGAGGTTACTGGAGGATTTAATGACATTGAGGTGACATAAAATTTGATGCCACTCATCAGTCTTTTAGGTATTTTTATCTTAAACGGGCACAAGATCACAGCTTTCATTGACTGTAAGTGTGTTACCATTGGGTGATGACCAGGTTAGTCAAAAAAAACAAATTAAGATTCAGAGACGCAATTACGACGCAAACTACTTCTGTCTTGCTATGATTAATCAAAATTAATTTATTTCATTGATTACCAAAAATAGATTTAATCGACTTATTGCTCCAGCACTTAATTAAACATAATCCTTAAGTGACGAAATTGTGATGTCCAAAATGACAGATCTTGTTTGGCAATGCAACATGAGAAAGTAGATTATTTTTAATATTAATTGCTGGCTGTGTCACTAAATATTTAATATTTATATTAAATATTTTTAACTGTAATGGTGGACTTTTTCTGGCTGCAGTTGTCTATGATCATTTTACTTTGAGTTATTGTAAACGATAGTGACAACTTCCTGTTTGACGCCTAAAGCACCTTACACATGTGCACGTTCTAAAGCGGAAAGTTCACCTGATTTGAACAGTCCTGCCAGTTTTAGCCTCCTGCCGGGCCTCAAAGAGGATTAAGCTGGTGTCATTTAAGACAATGATTACCTGTAGTTTGCAGCGTCTAAAGAGCTAAGCAATGACTCACCCTTGGCTGCATCCTCACAGTATCATACAGAATAGTCATTATCTTAAATTCATTCCCCGTAGTCCCAATTTATTGAAACATTGTGCCCTAACCTATTACATTCTGCTATCCCACTCAGACTGTGTTTTAAAGAACCACACAGTACAAGGACATAGTGACTTTCCCTGTGATTACCATCAAGCTAAGCCATGCTGCAAGCCTCTTATTCCCCTGCAGCTGGATCAAGCAGTAAAAGTTATCCATGAAATCCCCATTGCAGTCAGAGTTCACAATAGGCAGCTCCATTGATGGATGAAGAAGTCCAGGCAGAGAGCCGTGGTTGTGGCTGACACAATGTAAGGGCCACCCTGACAAATAATGGTATATGGTTGTTGATATTTCTTGTACTGTCTTGAGGCAATGCATTGTTTAATTGTAGGGAACAAGTAGCTTAAAACTGAAAACTGATTCTTTCTGGATAAAGGTCATGAACATTACAACCACACCAGATATTTTCTATAGAACTGAGATCAAGTAAAGATGACAATATGGATCATGATGTAATATTTTCTTAGAGTCAGAAATGTATTGGATATTTAACACAGCATATCTTCATGTGTCTGCATGTCAGTTCTTGAGAGACTTGGTCTCACTTTAAGATATTACAGTGAGGTGAACATTTTTCAGGATATTCATCATTTGAGGCAGAATTTGAGGATGTTTATAAGAATTTCATCCTTCCAGAGTGCCATTTTTGTCAGGAGTTAATTAACTGGTATAGAATTTTTTTTGATAATGGATTAATTGTCTTTTTTCAAGTGCATTTGCATCACATAACATTACATTGGTTTCAGCTTATCAAAAGTGATGATTGTCTTTGTTATATATCATCTTAAACTGAAAAACTATTTGGTTTTGGACTGTTGGTCAGAAAATGAAGACATCACCTTGAGCTCTGGGAAATTATATTCAGCATTTTTCAGTCTTTTTTTGATATTACAGGCAAACCATTTAATTGATTACTCAATAAGATAATAGGCAGTCCGCCCTAGACTGAATAATAAACTCACCAGTATTGATTGAACATGGTTGGAGTAAAAATCAGATGAACACTGCATTGATCATTTGGCTCAGCCTGCAGCCTTGTTGACATTTTACCTAGAAACACAGAAGTGTAGTGAGTGTTAGATACGGTTTACAACATTCCCTGAGGGTTTGTACGGTTCTGAGTCATTAGTTGTGGATGCTGTAGTCGGTGCAATGGTGGTGGACTATTTCTGCAGGAAATTGCTGCATTTGTTGTGTTTAGATGATAGAAGTTTTCTGTGCTCCATTATCCTTGTGGGTCTTGGTGAGTCCTCTGGTATGGACTTTGCTCTTCAGTCTAAGAGGTTTGTAGTCACCACCTCTGTTTTGTTTCCCTTTTGTATTTTCCTCTTGTATTCCCTTTGAAACTCATGTTTATTGTTTTACTTTTTGTCTTATTGGCTTTTATTTATAGTGTTTTATTGTCTATAAAGCACATTGTCACATTTTTGTCTGTTTGTTTTGCAAAGGCTTACGCCAGTAGAGTTTTATTATTACCCTTGTTGCATGGCAGAACTGAGATCTACTTCAACTGCTGATACTTTTTCTCTCTCCCTCTCACCCCAAGTCAAAGCTTTAATACAACAGCAGCCTGAATGTTATGTGTCATGTTTGTTGCTTTCTTTGAATCCTCAGAAAATCTGGTAAATCTGATTATGGGAAATAAATGAGATAAAATTCATCATGCATCTGCCTAGATCGGTATTCTATTTCTTCCTTTGCACTTGCATCATGGTTATTTGTATATGTGAGTCCATTGTTAATTTTCATTTTCATTTCAGTATTGGAACCGTCACATAGCTATGTGAATTAAAGCTGGTGTAAAGAGAAACACATGCGATAACCCTCACTGGTTACACTTGGACTTGACTGCAGCATGTTGGCTTAGCCCCTGCACTCTAACTTGTCTGTTCATTCAAAACATTTGCTCAGTGCGTTGCTGTGTATGTTGCCAGCCCCAGAAGCAAAGACACAGCGTGATTCACAGTTTGGTGCTAGAATGTCCTCTCTGAAGATGGCTCGGTTGCTTTGTGTGATGTGGATTGACTGTGTGAGCTCTGTTGTGGTTGGCAAGTGGAGATGGAGAGAAGATGGTGTGTTTACTTCTCAAAATTCCTGTTAATAGGCCGTAACAGAACTTGTTTGGCTGAAATATAAGACTTCAAGAGTCGTATCTGTTGTCCTTTAGCTCATTGGGTAGGAGTGTAAAATGATATTCAGTTGTGTTCTGTTAAAGCGTATTATCCATGCTTTTCAAACATGATGAGTATGTGGATGTTAATCCTTGAAAGATGATGTTAGATGAATATGCAAAATAAACTTCACAAGCGTGTGGGGGAAGCGAGCTGCCTGTTAACGGCACCGGAAAAGTGGTAATGACTCTGATTGTGTCAGAACAACTAGCAAAGAGAACATTAGAACAAGCAGGGGTGTGACTTAGAGACGTAGTACAATGAACCATAGCAACAACTTTAATTTTACTACCACATGTGCGTGCATTATGTTAGGCTACTTATATGTTTCAAATAGCAAGGATTGTCTGAGGTTGACGAATGATGAATGACAGTTTGCATGTCACCTTATTTGGGGTCGTCCTTTAGCCTCTTGAAATGATCCCACTCTTTGGATTTCCTGCCAGACATACTGTTATGTAATTACTTCAACGCACTGTCCTGTGTTTATAGGTTACTTCGATATTTGAGGCAGTGTGTCCCTTAAGAGTTGCCGTAAGGCGGGAGTTGTCAGAGTCCCGCTTGTCACACGTGTGTTGATAAAAGTAATGAAGTTGTTGCTGCTGTTGTACTACATCTCTAAGCCCTCTTCTAATAACTGCAGGGTCCAACCATGCGAACAAAGTCAGTGCTGACCTGCTAATTAATTAAATTAGTTTTAGGTACTTAATTGGAAAAGAAAGTAATGTGTGGCTCATCTACTTTCACCACATTACTTGCTGTTAAACCTAAATATTTTTGTTGTGCAATTCTTACAGGTTTGACATTGTTGTTAAAGCACATGAACTCCTCATTATCACATTGTGTTCAGATAATCTGCAGCTACCTTAGCTGGATAGTTCAATTGTTCAGCCGGTTGTTCTTTTGTTTCTATTTATATGTGTCTTGTATAAATTTTTAATGATAACATTGATGAAGGTCAAAACATTATTCCTTCCAAGTGAAAAGTGGATCATGTTGTTTAATTTATTCATCAAATGTGTTATAAATGTATGTTTAGTCTAGTCTGAATTGACAGATCATAAAGCAAATATTTTTTTGATTAATTTACCAAAAAGCCAAAAGTGTGTGTGTGTGTGTGTGTCTGTGTGTATCTGTGTGTGTCTATATGTATGGATTGGGTGCAGAAACTGTCACTGTGACATCTCTAATACAAACTTTTAAAGCTTGTGCTTGGTGTGTGGTGTGGAAAACAAAAGACCTGCAAACCTAAGACCAAAAGCAGAGTACGTTGTTGCAAATGTGGTTTACAGTGAAAACAGGGAGTGTATCGCCCATATCTTGCTTTGGTTACGTGACATATTAAACACTCTGCATTTCTTCCTGTGTTTCCACAGGTGATGGTGTTCCAAAGGAAAACAGTCCCTTTATCAACAACACAGACAATGACAAAGGCAACAGCTATGATGGCACCAACATGGCTCTTTTTGAGGTAACCGTCCAACACTTCTCATCATCTTGAATTTTATATAGGCCATATGCACAGGGCAGGGGGATGTTTTACTAAACAAGGAAGCGTAGCTGTGTGGTTTATTTTGGCAAGATGTTATAAGCCATGAATGAGAAACCCTAAACTGTGGGGTAGAAGCTGCAATTCCACCAATAGCCTTTTTAAGTTCACATTCACTGCCAGAATCTACAGTTTAAATTAGACCTAGCCTATGAAGCTCAAGCCATTCATTAATGCACACTATACTAAAGCATCAGGGTAAGTTGTGGTTAACTAAATAAATAGTACACAAGGAGGTGAAAGTACCAGTCTTCTCTTAGCTCAACAATGCATCAATCAAAGAGTTTATTTGTCGTAAAAGCCAGTGCATTCCTTTAAGTTCTTTCAGCTGACCCGTTGCCAGGTGCTTTGCTCTGCCATTTGGCAGACCTTGCTACTCTGTGGTCACTGGCCCTTGTATAGAATCAATTAGGCACTGCGGCTTCTGTTTTCACCGCTCTGCCTGAAGCTGATCCAGCCATGCTATTCTAAGATGCTTTGAACAGTTAGCAAACTAAATATTGCACTTTTCAGTTTGATCCTAGAAGAGTTTTCCCCTCTGAAAAAAGCTAAAGTGTTTTTAAAAATCTTATATTATTTTTCACCTTGTTGACATTTACATTTTGTTACTGTAACATGGAAATAAAGGAACCCTGAGTGAAAAATAAGTTTTTCTTTAATTGCAGGAGGAAATGGACAGCAACCCCATGGTGTCATCTCTCCTCAACAAACTTGCAAACTACACCAATCTCACCCAGGGGGCCCAGGAGCATGAGGAAGCCGATGATGATGAGGGGCCCAAAAAGAAAGCTGTTAAGGTACATCAGAGACTCTTGTTTCATATGATGTGTGTGTCACAGCTTTAAGGTGGGGTTGTCTACATGCTGTACAGTTACTGTAGGTACAGTACAGTTGTTCTTTCAGACCTGCTGAACTATCGATGAAGCCCTGCTGTTTGTTTAATATTTAAACCTTTCCTTTTAAACCTTATTTTCTTCTCCATAGCATCTTGTGTCCTTTCTCACCCTTCATGCTCACTGTGAAATTTATCAGTGTTAATTGTGTTAAATTAAATGGTCAAACCATTTAGACAAAAATATAAAATTTTATTATATGTGTTATGTTTAGTTTTTTCAATCTTTGGTATATTGTTGCTTTACCCTGGTAACAGGAAACGTACATATATTCATTCAGGAGATTTCTCATACAAAAAAAATCTGTTTTGAAAGTTACATCTTGCAACGGAGTTATTACAGATCCGGTCAGTAAGCCTGTATTGCATTAATCCTTTTTGTAGTTGAAAACAGAAACAGAATAATTGTTCCTAAAGAGGCAGTTTTATCTAGAAACAGTGCTTATATCGCAAGTGGACAAATGTAATCTGGCCTTCTAAAACAACAAGCATCCTTTAATGCAACAATCTTATTTTAAAGGCAAAAATTCCTATAGAGCACAGAGATGTCTTTTATAAAATACCTGTATAGGTCATACAGGTTGACCCTGTTGGTTGGGTAAGAGGACAGAGTTCATAGCAGAGATGAAATACGAAATAAAACTCTGGCAATCTGACTTCTACAATAACCTATTTGTCAGTCCTTGTCCCCCAGACCATTTGTACTGTTTCTCCTCATGTTTCAGTTTTTAGAAAAGAAGAATTGAAAGTAGCCACAGTGCTGCCATGCGGCATATAGATGCTTCTGTAACCACAGCCTCAGTCCCAGGCCAGTTGCGCCATCCTGTCCCCTGAATGGAAATAGGCCTCTGGTACCTCCCATTGGCTTGCAGGAACATCTTGGTAAAGAAATAAGTGGATGAAGCTGACACCCTTGTCGCCCCTCTTTGCCTGAACCAGTGGGACTAATGCTGTACATTTGGAGATAAATGGCTAAAAAGGTAGCTGCTTGTCAATCTGAGGTGATCGGTTTGACGTTTTTTTTTGTTTTCTGTCAGAAAAGTTTAATATATTCCTCTTGCCTGTGCTTTTTACATGCTGTTGCGAAACAACAGTTTCTTGCAAGGAATGCTATCTTTTGGGGTGGAAGGATTGAAGGATTTTCAACAACTTTTATTACTGGTCACTGGATAGTATAAAGTGGTTTATATAAATGATGCCTCTGTCACTGAGATGTAAGTCTTGTCCATTTCTAACGTTAGTTCATTTTTATCAAATATGTTTTGAAGCATAATCTTCACATTGCTAATAGCAGCAGCTTTTGCTTTGCAAATTAAACATTTCCCTCTGTATTTATGATGATGTTTCATAAAAGAAATGGTTAGAACAAGATTTTGCGCGGTTAAAACCACAGCTTTTAAGTCCTTATTTAAGCATGGGGAAATCAGGGACTTAATCACTGTCTTAGACAAAAATTAGGGGTTAGGAGTGTCTTTTTTTTTTTTTTTTAGGGCCGATTCTGATACCAATTATTAGTAATCACGGAAACCCACAACTGATATTTGGAACCGATATACTAACACTACACACAAACTACTGCTGCATAAAGTTTACGGACACCCACCGTGCTGTCCAGGTGTTTCTATTTTTTTATCCACCCCATTTATATCAATGAGGTAAGGCTAAATAATAGAGACACATCTCTTTATAATGCTATACAACTCAACAGCACTACACCCTACATCCTCCACAATGATGACAGTTAATTCAGTTGTTAAGGCACAATTCAGATCTGCTAGTTACTTTAGCTTAGCAGTTAGCGATGGCTTCTCTATCCTGCTCTCTCTTGCTCAGTGTGTCTTGGAACAACAAATGAACGTGTTCATAATATTGTGATGTTTTTGCAGCTTCAGCAATATCTGCTGTCTTACCTTTGACACAGCTAGGCTGGCTCACTGGAGCTGCTCCAGTCTATGCCTATTGTGTACACAATACTCACTGATACACACTGATCGTGTACACAATAATTGCCAGAGTTGATAGGCTGTTACTCATGACGTGGAACCAATCAGACTGTGGTCTTGAGCAATGTCCTGCCAGAGCACTGAGTGGTGACTACAGAAAGGGACAGGCGGCTGCATCAGAGCCAATTATTAAGTAATGCTGTCCCTGTCTCCCTGTACTGGCCTTCTCTGACCTGACCCAAGTCGGTGAGGGTTGCTATTTGATTGACACAACGTGAAGCAATGGAGATTTGTATATTGTTCAGTTTTTATTTGTCACAAAGTATTTGCCAGTTATTTGCAGTGGAGCACTTTATTTCTTTCACAATCCACTGGCCCACCGAGGCGGCTGGATTTCTCCCAGTGCTCCTGAAGGCCATTCTGAATATGACAGATGGGCCCATTGTCAATATGTTTGTTAGCGAGAGAACAAGAGCGAGGCCAGGAGTGGTTGAGCAAATTAATGAACTGCTCACCGCACTACAATGAAATAAGATGATTTTACCCATTTGAAATGGAAAAAATAAATAAATATGGGAAACACTGATATGACTTTATTTCCCATTTCCCCTTATTCATTCTTTGCTTTCTCTTTGCTTTTTCCTGTGTTAATATTCCTGTTCATAGTTGAAGACATTGCTATAATTCTCACCTCATGTTCCTCTCTTCCATCTAGCCTCTTCCCCTTTCGATCCCTAATCACACTCCTGCAAACTTGCACACATGAACACATTTTAATTCTCTTTTCTCTCCCATCTCACCCTTTCCACCTACTCCCCTTGTCCCCCTCTGTAGAGCCCACAGATGGGGACCTTCATGGGTGTCTACCTCCCCTGCCTCCAGAATATTCTGGGGGTCATCCTGTTCCTCCGCCTTACCTGGATTGTCGGCACTGCCGGCATCTTGGAGTCCCTGGCTATTGTCGGCTTGTGCTGCTCTTGTGTGAGTACTCATTCTTTCTGACTGACGTGCCTTTACCTCTTTAATTTGCAGGGATAAAATATATATGTTATAATATGTTCTTCACTATTCCACATAAACAGTGTATATGTCTTGTTAAGTGATAGAAAAGAATGAACTGACATGAGCTGGTCTGACTCTTGACCCGGATATTATTTATCCTTTAGAGTTTAAGTCATTAGAGCAGTGACAGGCAAGATTATGTAAGAGTGAACTTAATGTACATACCCAGCTCTGTAGTGCATTATGAATACATCAGCACATGAGAGTGAATATGTCTGTGTGCATTAATGTCTTTGCTAACACTGGGGGCAAAAGCTGCTTCAACTTTTAATGGCAGATGGATGCAAATGTTGGATTGACAGGAGTAATGAGTGACTGGCGAGTGGACTGTGGCCACTGATCCCTCCTATATTTAGCCACTGTGACTCTCCATTTCCCATACCCTCCTAACTTTTAATGGTACCTGGCAGCTTGACGTGTAATCCCTCCATCTGCAAAGTGTCAGAAATGTAGCGACATGCACACCCACACAGTGGCTATATTTGCCAATCCCAGGGCAGACAATGGATTACTTCAGCTTAATCAGGGAAAGTACAAACAAAACCTCTCAGTACTGTCTCAGATGAATGCTTTTTGCCTCATTATGAAATGCTCTAAGGACATAACATGATCAGTTTCACTTACAATATGGCCAACACTGACAAAATGACCACATACCAGACTATGCAATAAGCTAAGTTAAAATTAATTCCTACTTAAGGAACTGAAAGACGCAATTGAAGCCATGAATCCCAGACATTCATTTATATTTTTATTTATTTGAATTACTCATTTTTAAATATGTATGGTTATGGTCAGAAGAAAATAGTAAGCCAGCACACAGTGTTGTAATGCTATGAATTAATATCAGATTTCATAGCTACATGAACTGTTTGCCTAGAAAGATTGAAACCCCATTTCATATATTACAATCTAGCTAAAATGCGCTAGCAGGGTTTACCCTCCACTGCATCACTGCTGTTACATAATAAGAGAGCCAAGCTTAGTCAAACAGATTAATGTTCATTTTCACTGCTTAGACCCCATCTGACTTGGCACTGATGGTTCCACGTCAGCCACCTGCTTATAGGTCACATTTTGTGCTGCGGAACAGACATCAAAAATGTCTAAAAATAACCTAAAGGGAATTTCATTCAACTTCAGTTTAGAGCAGCCATGGTTCATTCTGTTCGTAACAGCTGACTGTGTTTAATCTCTTCGTATTCTCTTATGATCATTCACATTCACTGTTTACAAATAGAAAGCTGAAAGCTCAGATGGGACCAGGTCTCATGCTAACATACTAAGAGTGCGCAGATTTAAGAAAGCAAACACATTTCTACACACATCGTCAGTGACTCTCTTACACTCCTGTTAGCCCAGTTCACAGCACAGTGTACAAATTATTATTTTCCATCATGTCATGATTAGTTCGTTCTTTGGGCTGCGTATTGCTCAACAACATGCCTACAGTCGGTGCATTGTGTTTATAGGTCACTGGCAGCACCTGATTTTCTAAAATGTTTTTGCCACTTGTATAGTTCAAATTATTGCAGTGACCTATTATTACTTCTATTACTACTCAACCCTTTTGTTTTATATCACTATACTGTAATATTTATGATGTCATATAAAGCAGCATGAGGGGTTTGAGTAGATGCAGTTTTAGTCTTAACCACACTATTATTAACTTTTCTGACCATATCTTCTCCACATTCTTATTAGTGTGAAAGCTCTAATGGCAATACATGGATCTCTTCAACATTAATAAAGTATGTAGATAGAAATTTCAAGGAATTGAATTTTACGCAAGCAAATCTGTTTTTGCTGATGACTTGCACTGTAAGAAAAAGCCTCAAGGAGCACAACATTTGGTTCCGGTCGAGTTTCTTTTTAAAGTCCTGAAGCTCCACTACTAAAGAATTTCCAAAACATGGCACGTGGCTGTATAAAAACAAATGAGTCCAAATGACTCATGGGAATTGTGAAATAACCTTTCATGTTTCTTCAGTGATGACATAATTGCAAAGTGCTGCTTTTTTCTGTAAATACTTTGATTAATTTACAGTCTAGTCCAGCTACAGTAGCTGCTTAGGGCTTCAGTGGAAGCAGGAGGTAAATCTGTCAGTTTAATTGGCTTTACTCCAGCTCGTCTGCCACTTTAAACCCGACGCCCAGCAAAGAGCACAAGGTTTATCTTAGCTGTGTCCTTGTCCTTGTTCCCCTCTTCCACTTTCTCCTCTTTCCTTCGTCCTCTGCTCTTTCACCTTCACGCTTTTTTCTAGCCCTCTTTCTTTCACCCCTTAGATTTAAACTTTTATGCCTTTTTCTCTTTTCTTTGTTCTTTTTATCTTGTGATTCCTTGCCCTTCTCTCTGCTCTGTCCTTTCTCTCATCCAGAAGCCCTGTTAGCTAACAGGCTGATATAAATGTCCTCAGCCACAATGACTGATTTCACAGAAAAGTCGTATCCATTACCAATCCAAAAGATTTAGAACATAAGCCCCTAAGAAGTATTTTAATAGGCTAAATGCCAGATTGACCTCTCCAAGGATCCTGTTGTTGCGAAAATCTGGAAAATTCATGGAAAGAAATAATTATGAGGTGGGCAAGGAGGCCTGTGTTAATTGTCAGTTCAGTTCTGGTCTTTATTGTTCCACAAAAGGAAGTTATTTCTGTCGTACTTGATTTTGATTGGGCGATAATGACATCGCAGATAACCTTGTTACAATACAGCATTAAAAATGAACTGACCATAGGAATACCTCACATTTCAAAGGAGTATCATTGAATCTCATGAACAGAGTTTATCAATCACAGAGATATGAGTTACACTCTGTGTATGGTCTTTAGCTGTGGGAATTTTATACTGATGTTTTTGTTCCTTGCTTTCCTCCCTCCACAGACCATGCTGACAGCCATATCCATGAGTGCAATCGCTACCAACGGCGTGGTGCCAGGTAGGACTCTTTGGTTCACAGACACAGTTCATTTTTTTTGTTTTAGTTTCTTATGAGGATAAAATGAAATCATAAGTATGTGCTCTAGCTTCAGATGGAGTCTTACTATTTGATGATACATTTCCCAGCTTTAAATATTTGTCACATAAAATCCACATTTCCTTCCATGTTTGTTGATTTCATGTTAAATGATAACAACTATCATTGTCTGAGCATTTCAGTTATGTAGATTCTTCAGGTTTTGACCAAAACATTAAAAACAATGTTCCTTGTTGCAAGTATCTGTCACTGTTTTACAAAATCCACGTCCGCTTATAAAAATCATTCCCGCTGTTTCTTTTTCCCTCAGCTGGAGGTTCGTACTATATGATTTCCAGATCTCTTGGCCCAGAGTTTGGTGGAGCTGTAGGCCTCTGTTTCTACCTGGGAACAACGTTCGCTGGCTCCATGTACATCCTGGGTACTATAGAGATTCTTCTGGTAAGTGAACCCTGTTTGTGCTTGGTTTACCTCCACATGGTGGTTATCCGCCACCTGTGTTTACAATTCAGCAACGTTGTCTTTTCTTTTCACCCAGCCGAGTTCATGCTATTTACCCAGACTCACATGAGTTTGACAACAATATTTAGAAAACTAAATAACAACTCAGATTTTTGCCCTACTTCTTTTGGTATGTGAATGTTTTCCTCAAATGCAGGGATAAAACTATGAGTATAAACAAAATAAACAGGCTTATATTTCTTTGTGTTCTTACTGAAAGTGATGAGTGTGTAACATATATATTCTTTTTTTCCTGCTACTTACTTTTGTTTTGTTTTTTCAGACCTACATTGTGCCTAAAGCAGCCATCTTTGTGGCTGAGAAAAAGGAGGACCAAGTCGATGCTCTGCTGAATAACATGCGTGTTTACGGCACATGCTGCCTAGCACTGATGGCTGTGGTCGTCTTTGTGGGGGTGAAATATGTCAACAAGCTAGCTTTAGTCTTCCTAGCCTGTGTCATTCTTTCCATCCTCGCCATCTACGCTGGAGTCATCAAGACCATCTTTGAGCCACCAGACTTTCCGTGAGTCCAGTTTACAGTATACAGTATATCCTCCTTGAACCTTATTGTGCTATAATGACATCAGACTAACTTTGTCAGCCAGCCATAGTTTTTAAAAACACAACAGATGCATGTTTTTAGCTTTATTAAAAAGCAATTGCAACACTTCAAACAGTGTGTCATTTGAAGAAGTCTAACTAGTATCTTTTTTCCTCCACACAGTGTTTGCATGTTGGGAAATCGCACTCTGCAGAACCACTTCTTTGACAAGTGTCTTAAGTTTGAGGTTGTAGACAACGTGACGGTCACCACCAAGCTGTGGTCTCTGTTCTGTGACAAGCCTGAGCTCAATGCCACCTGCAACGAGTATTTTGTCAACAACAATGTTACTCTGGTGCAGGGCATCCCCGGGCTGACCAGCGGAGCCATTTCAGGTTGGAATACAGTGTTTTCTCTGCACCCATTTCCTATATGATATACAGGTATTACATTTACTTCTATAACATGTAGATATCTAAAATATTTTAAAGTGTGTTTCAAGTACACTTTATTGCCAAAATAATTAATAAAAATGATCTAAATGTACAGGCTTGGAAAATATGTGTTAAATACTAACCTCTCAATAGGAATTTACACAGTTAAAGACTGCAATATTTTATTAAATACAGTGCAAACACAGAACATTCCTCCTGTTATGTAACTGTTGGCCATGACAAATTCATTTTACTCCAAACCATCCAAGCAAATGCATTCCAGTCATATTTCTAGTGAAGCAACTGGCGTCTGTGTCTGCAGGTGCTATACGATCATTTGTAATCATTTCACTCTATCTGCCCTCTGCCATCTCCATTTGCTTTTATTTTTATTTTCTTTAGCTCCTCTCCAGTCTCCCTCAAATTACTCCTCCTTAATAGAAAGGTTTTACTTTTTTGTGTATTTGGAAGTCTTTGAACAGATTGCGTCAGCCGCAATTTCCCTACCTGTATCATCTTGCCTGTTTTTAATTACCAGTGTTCTCGTAGCACCAGCCATTCACTTGCTGTTTCACTTAGCTCCAATGCTATTGACTTAATTAATAGTCTGGAGCAGTTACAGAATGTTTAACTTATAAAACTAATTAACTTTGATTTGACATGTTTTACTCATGCTGCTTTTGAAGTGTGTTAAATTATAAATCTTTTGATACAGTACTAGCAGCATGTTTAATTTCTCCTCTCTAATATTCTGATTTGTGAGCTGGCAACATGGTTTCACAATACTGGTGTTTCCAAATCCATGGTCATCTTATCCACTTTAACTAATTAGCTGAGTTTTTATCTCTTGATCTGTGAGTCTCTTTAAAGACAACCCATTATATTGCCAATTGGGTGATTTAGCAACCGTCTGAGAGCTCTGCTTTGTAACAGTGCTAATTACTCTGTTTCTGTCTCTCTTGTAGAAAACATGTGGTCAGAGTATGGTCCTCTGGCTATGTTGGTAGAAAACAGAAAGTTGTCATCTCTTGGGGGAAGTGACCCTGCCCAGGACATCTACTTGCCGTATGTAGTCAATGATATCACCACCTTCTTCACACTGCTGGTCGGCATCTACTTCCCCTCTGTCACTGGTGAGACTGATAAAAGCGACTGACACACCCACACACATTGTATTGTGGGAGTTATTTTGTAAACTTGTGTGCTACTGTCTTGGTCAGAATTGCTCATCATAGAGCTGTGCTTCATTTCTAAATATGTCATGTTTGATATTCTGTCGTGACCACCTCTTCCAGGTATCATGGCTGGTTCAAACCGGTCAGGTGACTTGAGGGATGCCCAGAAGTCCATTCCTATTGGGACCATCTTGGCTATTGCTACCACCTCTGTCATCTGTATCCTTAAACCTTTTACATGGCACTGTGGTTGATTTAAAAAAAGTTAGCATAGCTCATATATAGTAGCATTATAGTAGTATCGTTAGTATAGTTAGTGTAGCGTAATCAGCTACAGTATGAAGTATGCTTTGTATAGAGATTGTGAATCACAACTAATGCTGCCAGATATCACATAAGTATGGCAAAGGCTGTTAGTTTGTGGTCGGTGTGTGCAGTGTGTTTAACGAGAAGTTTACTCTCCTGACCAGTGCCTCCCAGACGTCACCTGTGTGGTTCTGTTTGGGGCCTGCATTGAGGGCGTTTTGCTTCGAGACAAGTAAGAGTTTCACACAGAGCTTATATTGTAAAATATTGCACAAAATCTGCTGAATTATTTTTTTATGAATATATTTTTTATTAAATTGATCTAGAAGAAAAACAATGTGCACTATGTAAGTTTTGGTCTTTATGGTCCGTCTTTTCTCTGTTAGTATCATCACTTGAGGTTAGATGGATAAAATTGTCTTGCCACTAAGGCCTCAGTTGTTCTCCCTTACACACACACACACACACACACACACACACACACACACACACACACACACACACACACACACACACACACACACACACGGGCAGCTGCGTAGTTGTTGTTATTTTGCTTCTTTCTAGTCCACTTGGAGGACTGCATGCGCAGTTGGTGTCCTCATAGCAGTGGCCAAATTGGAGAGTACACGGACATTCGCACAGAGCCTCGCATACATCCTCTGATGACGAAATTTAGGTCACGTGGATCGTTGTGTACTCGCGGAGTGTTACAGCAGCTTAAGTGCCCTCATCAAAAGAGGCTCAGATTTACTGTTTCCTCTTATCCCTGATCCTTGTAACACTGTGTCATAAGGAGCATGTTTATAATTGTGTACTAACAATGTTTTTATATTTTACAAGACATCAACTATACTGTTTATTTGAAAAACTTACAGTAGGTAAAATGCCAAAAGTATAGAAGCTTTTTTAAAAACAAATCACAAGTATATATGTCGATTTAAAAAATAAAAAAAAGGAAAAAATGGGTCATTCGTTGGAGTCTATTTTTACCTGCGGATTTGTCCACATTTAGTATTCTAGTTCGAATTTCTGGCAACAGGACATACAATGTTTGGGAGTCAAAATAAACTATGGTGCATGTGTGTGTTCATTGTAAGGAAGGAACTTGTCACCCAGAGCAACTCACTGATGTGTTTTTAATCGTTTATAGACAACAATGGAGCCCTATGGTACAGAGGAATAATATCATGCTTTGGATACACACACACATTACTTGTTGGTGGGATGTATTCTTGGTTGTTGGTCTTTTCATGGGAGTTGTTAACAATAAGAAAATATCATCAAACGTATAATTTAAGTTAACTGTAATTGATTAACTATTATGTGAACATATGTACACTTTATACAGCTGCATAAAATAGTATGGTCCAGTTAACATGTATGATTGTTTTTGTATTGCAGATTCGGTGACTCAGTGAAAGGAAACCTTGTTATAGGCACATTGTCATGGCCCTCACCCTGGGTCATTGTGATTGGCTCGTTCTTCTCCTGCTGTGGGGCGGGGCTGCAGAGTTTGACCGGAGCCCCGCGCCTTCTGCAGGCCATCGCACGAGATGGCATTGTACCTTTCTTACAGGTTAGACGCACCCTCAACTCAAATACTTTCAAAGCAATCTTCATCCTCATACGCTCATCTTCAATTTTCACACTTGACTTTGTGTGTGTGTGTGTGTGTGTGTGTGTGTGTGTGTGTGTGTGTGTGTGTGTGTGTGTGTGTGTGTGTGTGTGTGTCAGGTGTTTGGTCACGGGAAAGCTAACGGAGAACCTACCTGGGCTCTTCTGCTGACTGCTGGTATCTGTGAGATCGGCATCCTCATCGCCTCACTGGACGCCGTGGCTCCTATCCTCTCCATGTCAGTACCTGTCTGTACAGTAACGTTAAATGCTTTCTTTCCATAAAATCAGATTACCGGATAAAGTCTATGATCCCTTATGTATTTCGCTTCTTAACAGCACTTACAGTAGGTCATAACATGGAGATTTAGATGAGAGGTGAGTTAGTGTCTTTTGGCTTATTGTCTTTCTCCTGCAGGTTTTTCCTCATGTGCTATCTGTTTGTCAACCTGGCCTGTGCTGTTCAGACCCTGCTGCGAACGCCCAACTGGAGACCACGCTTCAAATACTACCACTGGTGGGTGACAAATAATACAGTCTTGCAAGTATATTGTCTCTCTATATTACACACTCTGAATTTACTTTTGTATTTACTATGTATTTACAGACATTGAAAGAAGGGGATATTAACAGGTTAATTTCAGGCTTTTTAACAATGTCAGGGATCCGACTACTGAGAGGGCTGAGGGTTCCTTTAGGAAGATTTTAGGGCACAAGTCAAGAATCACATAAATACCTTCACAACCACAGACAAACCTGTTTCATATGGTTTGTGACATGACTTACTGAGATTAATTCCACAACAAAGGCTGAGGGCAATACAGGACGTTACTATTATTAACTGTGCAATGTGCAAACAACCTGAACACACACTTAATCTTAAAAAAATGGATGGGTATGTTGTCAACGAACTGACTTTGTAAAGTGTGTTTTCTTCTACAGGGCTCTGTCCTTCCTGGGAATGAGCTTGTGCCTTGCTCTCATGTTCATTTCCTCCTGGTACTATGCTATTGTTGCCATGGCCATCGCTGGGTGCATCTACAAATACATTGAATACAGAGGGTAAGAATTTAAAAATACCTTATTTTTCGATACCACATGCATTTTCAGGATCATCCACTTTGTTTTAAAAACAGTTTATAAGTTGAAGCTGTACATTTAAAACTTTAAAGTCTTTAACATTTTAGTTATAGTAGCAGTAGAGTATATATTTTTCACTTCTTACATATATCAATTAAAGGTGTGACTTTCAGGCCTGTTACGAGAAGTTACTGCAGAACTTTCACATGTTGCTATAAATAACAGTATAAGTTACCCAGAACTAGACTGTACAGTTCAGATATGAACACAACACACAACTGAGGTGTTAAAATCCATTCACTGTCATTCTGTGTGTGTTCTCATTTTTTTTGTCAATCATTTGTTTGCTTCAGGGCAGAGAAGGAGTGGGGTGATGGTATCCGTGGTCTGTCGCTGAATGCAGCCCGCTACGCCCTCATTCGCCTTGAGGAGGCTCCACCACACACCAAGAACTGGAGGTACAGTATCTTGTGTGTGTGTGTGTGTTTCACATGGTTTGTGGTTACAGCTGACACAGTGCCACCTGTCATTGTTGGGCTGGACGAATGAAAGACGGGAATAGACAGAGGGTGAATTGGATTAATCTCTTGGTCCTTTTCCTAATCTGTCAGAAAAGGTTGATAAGCTTTCATTCTGTACAGAGGCCCGCACTGACTGACCTTGCACACAGCCTGTCCAAAAACCAAAACCACCAATTCGGAATCATTTACTTCCTTGGCGTGTTCAGTTCAAATGCTCTTTTTAGGGATGTGATGTTTCCAGATGTTTCTTATCAAAGATATCTGTTCATGCTCCTGTTTGAAAGCTGCTCTTTCTAACTCTTGTGGTCTCGTGTTAAACACATGTGAGACTAAAAGGTTTAATTAAGCTATACTTTAGGTCTCCCTGTATTGTTGACTGAGATCCAGTAATACTGTAATAATGATTCCACTCCTTATTACCTTATTAAAATAAGGTTTTCTTTAACAGTTAAATAATTGTGTCATATTTTTTAGTTTCTTACTTATCAAACAGCCAATCCTGTCCCTCACTACCTTGCAAAGAAAGAAATCTGACTTTGTCCACTTTCTTTTTTTTTTGTTGACGTATCCAGGCCTCAGTTGTTGGTGCTCCTGAACCTGGACTCAGATCAAGCAGTCAAACACCCTCGTCTGCTGTCCCTCACCACTCAGCTCAAGGCAGGAAAAGGCCTGACAATAGTGGGAAATGTTTTAGAGGGAACATATCTCACTAAAGATGCAGAGTCCAAAAGGGCTGAGCAGGTACAGTGGAAATTCACACACACGCAGGCAAATGCATGTACACATCTTAAATGCAAATGCAGGCACAAGTTTATGTCTCAAACACGACCCTCTTCTACCAAAAGTAGGAATTCCTGGTCATAGTTGCTCATAATAAGTTAAATGGGTTCATCCATAGCTGAGCATTTTAGTCAAAATCAGATAAATAGTTTAGACAATCATTTTACCCCCACACTGCAGATTAACTCTGCCACCTACTGACCAAATTGAGCAAGTCATCAGATTTTTTTTTGGCAACCTGATTTGTCAGTGTCCTCAAAAGCATTTTTAATCAGTGGATTATTTTTTCTGCGAAAGTAATCATGTGCAGAGGCTGAATTCCAGATTAAACAGACTGCTGTATTCACGGGGATTGTTCAGAGCCATCAGTATAAATTAATGATCAGAGTGCTGAATGTTAATTTTGAGGAAGGAGTAAAGTTCATCCAAGGGTTCAGTATAATAATCAGTGGATCACTGAGTTGTAAGTGTCTCCATAAAGACATATTTTTAAAAGGTTAATAATGTATCAGTTTTCTTCTCCACTTCTATCCAGAACATCAAGTCCTCCATGTCAGCAGAGCGGACCAAGGGTTTCTGTCACGTTGTGGTGTCTTCAAACCTCAGAGATGGCGTCTCCCACCTCATCCAGTCTGCAGGGCTGGGAGGCATGAAGCACAACTCAGTCCTGATGGCCTGGCCTGGGACCTGGAGGCAGTCCAATGACCCGCAGTCATGGAAGAATTTCATAGGTAGAGACAATTCAGAATAAAAAAGAATTCAACTGTGGACAAGTAATGGAAGATAACTGATCTAAAATGCAGTGGAAGTGAATAAAATACATATTATATATTCCATATTTGCACATTTCAACATGAACTCATTCCACTGATGACAGTGACTCAATGTCTCATAGACAACACACAAAGATTTAACAGGCAGTGTTTCATAGACGTTCTCTCTTTCTAACCATCTAGAGACGATACGGGAGACCACAGCCGCCCATCAGGCCTTACTTGTGGCGAAGAATGTGGACAGTTTCCCCACCAACCAGGACCGTCTAGGGGAGGGCACCATTGATGTGTGGTGGGTGGTCCATGATGGGGGCATGCTGATGCTGCTGCCCTTCCTGCTGCGACAGCACAAGGTTGGTCTGTGTGTTTGGGTTGTATTTATCTCTGAGACATCCTTAACCCCCACAAATCATTTTTCATATCATTCATTCCTCTGTTCTAATTCAGAATCCCTCTCTCATACATTCTCCCTGTCTCACACTGTCTCTTCCCTGTCCCTTTCCCACTGATCCTGCTGCTAATCATGAATCCATCCATCTACCCCTGACTGACTGTATTCTCTTCTGTAATAACTGAGTCTGTCCTCCCACTAGGTGTGGAGGAAATGCAAGATGCGCATCTTCACTGTGGCCCAGATGGACGACAACAGCATCCAGATGAAGAAAGATCTCCAGATGTTCCTTTACCACCTGCGATTGGATGCAGAGGTGGAAGTGGTGGAGATGGTGAGACTCTAAGAAATGTCATCAGTAGCGGCTAATTATTCCCACTTTTTTTTCAAAATGTATCTAAATTTTATCCTCTTTATTTCCTGGTTCAGATGCTGGAGATGAAACAGTTAGAAATAGTCACAAACAGAAAAATTTCCAAATAATAAACTTCCTGTACATTGTCTTTGATTTGATTCTAAATTGTACTGATTGATTGATTCTGATGTTTCTGTTCCTGTCTCTGCAGCATGATAATGACATCTCAGCCTTCACCTATGAAAAGACGCTGGTGATGGAGCAGAGGTCTCAGATGCTGAAACAGATGCAACTGTCCAGGACTGAGAGGGAGAGAGAGGTAATGCACACCTCATCCAGCTGAACACAACCCCGCACTCACAGTCCCTTTATCCCTGACTACCTGCAGTTTCATCCCAGTTCCACACAAGTGGATGATTTTTATGCTTTTGTCTTAGATTAGATACTAAGATAAATTAATAAACATCTATTGCATTTATTCTAACTGAATGATGTTTGCATTTAGCTCAATTTTAGTGTGTGTGTACCTGCACAGTGATGACAAGCGTACTGTACAAAAAACCTTATGTGAAACATATCAGATTATAATGTATGTAACACAAACAATGTAGGTTCGACAGTATTTTAGCTAAATGTGGCCACCTGCTGCGTTTATGACAATTGGCCCCTCTCCCTGTTCATCTGCCACCGCCTCTCTGGGCCGTGCCACACCGCTCAGATTCAGAGTATCACTGATGAATCGCGTAGTTCAATCCGGAGGAAGAACCAGGGCGCTGCCCAGGGCCCGAGCTTCAGCCGGCAGTCCTCACCGTTGGAGGACACTCAGGAGGATGAGGTAGCCGATTTTGTCAACCCACCGTCCCTCACTGTTAGACCCACCGGCCCATCTTCACAAAGCTGGATCTTTGGTTACAACTGTCGCTTGTCATGTGACTGTTTTAATAACTAATATCACCATCAAAGTTAAAATTCTGAACTCAGACAATCTAATTTATTAGAAAATCTAATAAATAGATGCGGAAGTTGTTAGTGTTACACTGTGATCCCATTATTCTCTATTGTGGACATCAGACTGTGATGCATATACAGTAAAATGAATACACAGATGGGAAGGAAAGATGGAGGAGTAGTAATACTGCTATGGTGTAAAATTAGTAATGCCACAGGAAATGTATTTTCAGTCTAAATGTGGACATAGTTTAGAATTATACAGACTGACCTTCAAAATGAGAAGTGTAACCATACCCAGAGAGTGGGAGTTCTTATTAAGAGTCAGTTATGTTTCATGATCAAGCAGGAAAAGTTGTTGTTTGTTGTTAATTGGAAAACCTGCAGCTCAGGTTTTCACCAACATTCCTCATGTATCTATTTAAATTATACCTTTTTCTCATTTTCTGAGGAAGCGTACTGTTGGGAACGTTGGCACAGATTTTTTTTAACAAATCTTCTCTGTAAACAAAAACATGACTTCAGCATCACATTAATGATTTTGCCTAAAGTCAGTGTGGAGCTAGAAATAGAGGAAAATGTTGTGTTCTCTTGATAATCTTTTTTTTTTACCATCTAACTGTTAGCCCTTTTCATAAGGTCACTGGCCAACAACCTCATGAAGAGAGAAGATGACTAATGAATAACAGATAGGATCCATCTTGTTCATCTGACTTTTAAACCACAAGTCCAGTTTGGCCCAACAGTAGTGCTGTTTACTGTATAGTCACTGAGAGCTGCTTTGTGAATATCAGCCTGAGACTGTAGTAAAAGCTCCCATTACCTTCATGATTCCACCTCATCCCCAATCCCCCAAAACATAAGGATGGAAAGAGTGGACAGTATTCTCTGTAATGTGTCTGACTTTTGCACAGTGACAAAATCTTCAGAGCTGTATCGATGCTGTCAAACTCACACGTCGGACGCTTTATTCAGGTCAAAACACTCTGAGTGTGAGATGTCCTAAGGTGGCTTCTGTACAGAGGATAAACATTGCCTTTCCTCTGGTGCCATCCTCAGCAGAAACATTACATTTCGCTGCCAAGTCATGTCTTTTTTCCATCCCTCCAACAACTGGGGTTTCTGCTGTGCAGTGACCATCACAGCCTCACTGTGCTTTTAGTTTTAATGATCCTCACAATATTTTATAGCAAGTATATTTTCACAAAGGAGTGGTTTACTCTTAATTGTGACATGACAATACTGTCTTCTCTTTTCTCATTTGAGCTTAACCATGATCTCAACCCTGTTCTTCATTATGTTGACACCCACCCGCCACTCATACTTTTAACGAGTCCATACACCACAAACAGCCAATGGTCAACAAGCATAACAGGCAGAGAAACATCTTCCAGAGACACCCATCCTTCAAAAAAATGAGGGAGCATGCTATTTACCACTTGGTCTCCCGTCTTATTTATCGACAATGGAGAATTTGAAAATCAAATGTTTTAATCAGGAAGCCGTAGATACAGTCATGTTTTATGCTTTTATTATATATGAACAGGTACTAGTGAACACAGAGACCTCTATCTGTATGTTTATGATGACAGGTGATAATTAAACTATGATTTATTCTTATCATTTGTCATTGACAGTGGTTATATAATTGTGGACTGGAGGGACAGGAGTGAACAAAGTTGTTGTCAAACAAAAATATTTAATGATGTGTGTTGGTCCTACTCTGCCATGCTATGCTGTGCTGTGTTACTCCTGCACTGTCCCTGCATCATAGGCACATAGAGCTGCTTTATATTTGTTTAAGTAACACATCTCTTGGCTGACATCATACTACACCTTCACCACCACTGTAGTTTTCTTTTCGTTGGTCACTCATAAATGTGTTTCAACCATTGCTGGGCCCTTCAACCTGCCCAGAGATAGATTGTCATGTGATGCCCGAGGTAAATTTGTCCATTTATCGTCCATGTGAACAGGTTTGTAATGTCTCCATTATTCTCTAGCACGGTTTTGTCTCACTATTAGAAGGAAAGTTGTTGAATTCCCATCGTCTTTGGTCCCAGTTTGTAATCTTCCCTCATGTTTCCTTTTTCACTGGCCAATCTGGCTGTTCCTGCTCCATTTCCTCACCTTTGTTTCCTTATTCTCCTTCCACCTTTTCCCAGTTTTTATTCCTATTTTTATTCCTACCACTTTCCCTCCTTTTCTCATTATTTCTTCCATTCTGTTTATTTTTCAGTCCCGTGAACCGTCTCCTGGTTAATACTCCAGCAATCAGCTGCTGATATTTCTCATCCTTCTCTCGCCCTCCTTTCCAGGCCCAGCTTATCCATGACAGGAACACAGCATCTCATGCCACGATAAATGACAAAGCTGACACCGGGCCTGACCGGGTTCACATGACTTGGACCAAGGATAAGCTGTTCACAGAGCGCAATCGTAACCGCGAGTGCAACGCCAACGTGGCTGTGCGTGACCTGTTTAACATGAAACCGTAAGTTACGTTTGTTAATCTGAACAAGACCCAAAAAGTAACATCTGTGCATTTGTAGCTTTAGCGGTAAAAAGAAGGGAAAGTGAAAGATCTGTCCAGTAGATGTGTAACTTTAAGATGAAGTCTCATATCAGAGGAGTGTCAAGTCTACTGTTTATGTTACTGAAGAATAATGTAAAGATGATATACAATATGATGTAATTGCATGTGCCCTGTGAGAGACGTTTGCACCATTTTGAACTGATTTTTTAAAATTGTCACGATACATAAAGTTTGATAAGAATGTGGAGTTTAAACAGCACTGACAACACTTCAGGATGGTGCTAAGGCCTCAGTGCAGGAGGACAGCATGTCCATGTGTTGTAGTAGACGTAGTGATGAGCCTGACAGGGTGAAATGGGACAACTGTGTGCATGGCGTGTGCATTCAGGCTGCATTTGGTGTGTGTGCGCATGTGTGTACACTTTCAGCCATTTCAGTCTTAGTGCATGGCCACACCACATGTCCACTAACTCTTTCCCATCCCATACTGTCCGTACTGTCAGTGTGTGGACTTCATCAGGTGTGTCCCAGTCCTTTTATATTAGCCGATAAAGTTTGTAATTCAAATCAGTGCATTATAAAGCGGGACAGGAAGAACTGGAGGCCACTTTTTCACAAAGCCTCACCATTTCTTGGGTTTACTTCAGTCACCTTTGGGTGTCACAGCGAACGGTTTGGGACAGCTGGAAGCATGCAGTGTGGTGGAGAGAGCTGACATAGAAGCATCTAAGCCTGTTTCTGTTGTTCTGTCCCATTTTCCTCCTTCTAGAGAGTGGGAGAGTCTGTAAGTCGCATTCTCTTTGCCCTAGGCCGTATGTGTGTCTACTGCTGCTGTGGTGACTGTAGCTTTGTTCAGTGTTCTCCAGCTCATGTGCCCGTACCTCCGTGTTTATGTGTGTGTGCGTGTGTGTCCGTGTCCTTGTTTGTGTATCCTAATGTGCATGAACTTCCTGTTCCAACATCAAACACTATGTCAGTGGAAAAGCTTCCAGTTCATTTGCATGTAATATTTATGACATTGTATGCATGAGCAAAATTGTGCTTTCCCTCCATCATTTATCAGAGTGATCAGCAGATACAAAAAGTGTTCATTCGGCCTGACATGAAAATAAAAATGTTTTTCTTCTTCAGTAGAAAGGAAAGCAGAATTTTGTAATTGTTCTCATAATTTAGCTTCTGGCAGTTGGTGTCTTTATGTGCTTTATTAACTTATGATCTAACAGTTGTGAAGGTGATGACAAAGAGGCAACATTTAAAAAGAAAGGAGATGCTTTTTTAACCGTGGTAACTATTAATAAACCGTGTGTACAATTGGCTGTGACAAAACTAAACTAATAAAATGACATCATGCTGGACTTTGGGATACGGCACTGCATGTCCCTTTTGTCTTTAAATGCTGCCTCTGTTTGCTTCAGTCCCTTAACTATGCCTTTGTTTATTCATTTGTGTTTGAGACTAACATGTAGTATGCTTCAATTAAAATGCAACTTTTCTCCGTGACAGAATTTTATCGATATATGTGATTGTGTGTTAGTGAAATTTCATAAGCAAGCCAGAAAAAGACCCTGTTACATTAGTGTTTTCTGTTGTACAGCCATGTAAACCAGAGAGCTTGTTCTCAGTGAGTTTTTCATTTATATTATAGGTTTTAATTTATACTGTGGATAAAGGTTTTATTCACTGGAAGAGGACAGTATAAACAAGCGCCTCAAAAGTTTACATTATTGAAAAAATGTTCCAGTGTGCAGCTGCTATGTTAATCAGGAGTGCTGCCATGTTACCACAAGAGGCCTTTTTTTATAAAAACACTGACATGTCACAGCAGGAAGAGCTCAGGTTAATGAGGGTCCTGGTTTTGTTGATGCTGCCTCACTGGGACACTTGAACAAAGCAGAGCCATCATTAATGCTGTTAGTTACACCTGTGCATTTTCTGCTCTGACAAGTCAAAGGTTCTGTTCACACCTGGCATTAACATGCACCTCCGGATGCTTCATGAGTGACCGCTCGTGATCAGATCTCACTTCCCTGCTCCAAATGCAGATAAACCCGTATCATCTCCAGTCCGACGATGACCGATGAGTCTGTTGTCAATGTGTTTGAATGTGGCCACATGTGGCCCAGACCACCTCCGAAAGTGTTCTGAGTGGTCAGATCTCAAATGTGTCTTGGGTGCGCTCACACACGTGCCTAGAGCTGACCGCTTGTGATCGGATCACCAGGTCTGAACAGGGCCAATGTGTCTGCTGTGAAAAAGGTCTGTTGTGGTCTTGGAGATTCTTGGATTACTTTCATCAAAATTTCTTCAGAGCCCAGTTTACAGAGAGAAAATAATTCATTTCATTTCATTTTAATTTTCCAGTACAAGGCTAATTTTACATTTGATGACGTGATGATGACTACAGTGCAGTTTGCACACTAAGTACTTAAGTAGGTCTAGAAACAAGCTGATGTCCTTTATCACTAATTAGATCTAGGGCTTAGTTTAGTTTGGTTAACGATGTTTTCTTCAGTGCTGTCTTTTCTCACTGTGAACATCTTATCAAATTAGGAACCAGTCTAATGTTCGCCGGATGCACACAGCTGTCAAGCTGAACGAGGTGGTGGTCAACAAGTCCCAGGGAGCTCACCTGGTTCTACTGAACATGCCTGGACCCCCTCGGAACAGGGGAGGAGACGAAAACTGTATCCTGAATTACTGCCATTTCAATTCATCCTAGTTCAGTGTGATGCATTCTGATGTGATTGATGGCAGGTGGTGAATGAGGGTATAATGTGTGGTGTACTGGAACGCTCTGTTTGTGTCTCTGTACCTTGACTGCTGTCGTCTCAGACATGGAGTTCCTGGAGGTTCTCCTCGAGGGTCTGAACCGGGTCCTTCTGGTGCGAGGCGGTGGCCGTGAAGTCATCACCATCTATTCTTAAAAAAACCTCTTTGACCCCACACTGCACACATGGGCTGTTGCCATGGATACCGGTCAACGGGCATTCTTGGGGAATGAATCCAAACTGGGTTTTTATGAAAGGCAGGGGTTGTTGGAAGGCGGGACCACTTGTGATTGACCGATGGCGTGAAGGGCCTGAGGATGAAGGAAACAGTTAGCGTTGAGTCAGCTGACTGGCTGAGAGAGTGAGCACAGTGTGAGTCCACGCCGGGCCACAGAACCCCTGCTCATGGAAGATAGAGCATAGAGACACTTTATATTTTTCATTTAACTCTGAAAACGTTGTTCTGTTCTGTTATATTTTCATATTCTTTCCCTCTTGTGTTGATGTTGTCAAGTTACTGGCACTCACTGTGTAAAGATAAGCAAAGAAGAAGTGAACATGTGCTGTTGATATGAAACTCGTAGTCTATCATGTTGTCTGGTGCACTCGACTGTGGGAGGGGCAGAGACGTTTGCTGAACCTGAGGAAAAGATGACAAGTTATAAAACGAATTTGAACTCAAATAAGTAAATACACACAGAAAAGTAGAAAACCATCTGTCAGCACTCTGCTGCAGAAAGCTCACTCCTAACAGCACCTACTGAGGTTTTAATATCAAATCCAGTCTGCTGATCTATATGGTCTGCGTCACCATTTGTACTTACATGTTTTCATTTAAAATAGCTTCTCAGAAACTCTTTGAGTCTGAAAGGACAAACAGTTAGTTTAGAAACTGCTGAAACATCCTGGTTAGGTTGTAGAACGACGGTGGGCTCGTGTCTGTAGTTGAAGCGTCTCCTCTGAAGCTGTAGTGTTGTTACTCTGTGGTTGTTTGCCTTGTCATGATTTAGTGAAGGACTAGCCAGAAGGATGTTGAACATTACCCAGACGATCTTCTGTTAGGTGGGAGGGAGCTTTTTAGATATCAGGTACTGACACTTTATCACTGATCATCATTTCCCACCCTCAAAGAATGCTGTTTTTTTAATAGGGAAAATAGCCATAATTAATATTCTAGGAGCTTTATAATGTAACATATTAAATGCACATGTACATTTATGGTGTCTGAAGTAGTGCTCAGTTGGGAATGTCAAAATTTTTTTTAAATTGAAGGGCTGTTTGACAGCATATAGTAGCTGAATAAATTGGCTCGTTGATCCAAACAAATCTTAAGTTTGCCTTCAGAAATGTTGGCGTTTAACAAAGTATACTTTTTAAAATGTAAAAGCACAAACTGATACATGTGAATTTGTGTCATTTCAAATTTCTTTTATGTCGTTTCACCCGATATTAAACAAATAGTGACGTAGTTACAGCACTGTTGACTTTGCACTACCGATCATTCAGCACTTAAATCGTTGTGCTCTCTCACTTACTTCTACTGCTTACAGTGACACTTTCTATCGGTTGACACACCACTACATTCAAGAAAAAATGCAGACAGCCAACAGTTCCAAAGTAAATGCTCACGTTTCAATGTTTTTATAATATTTTACCAAACAAAAAATGTTTTGGCTTTGAGTCCCAGGCTGAGCAGATGAACAGTTACGAGCATGTGTGGGAGGAAAAAGTGCCAAAATGACTACAAAAGAAACTGTGGGAGTACTATTACTATTACAATGCTTCTTCTAGCATGACATGCAGCTACATTGACAATCTTTCATTTTTGGATAGTCATCACTTCTGCCATAACTCATGTAAAATGCTGAAAGTAAATGATTGAGGAAATACAGCAAATAGTGCGATTTCCAGGGCATTTCAAACCTTCACACCTGGGCTGAAAGAAAAGACAGAGGAAAGAGGGAAACCGGATTCAACTCTTTCACACGTGTACTTCCACAGTTTCTTTTCAAAATTAGCTGTGCAGTATTTTGTAAAGCAGAACGACACATTTTCCTGCAGTTCTTTGTGGGGAAACGTGAACTTCTGACTGTCAGTTATGCAGCATCTGTGTTTTGTTGAGTTTTGTTCAGTTGTTGATGTATGCCTGTTTAACTATTTAGTCATGGTCTCTGTAGTGTTTGTTACATTATAACTGATCTGTTACTTTAAGTGTTAATTTTTGGTGTGATTTCTATGGACGGAGGCAGAGGGAGGAGGTTATGTGCGAAGACGGCGGCAGTTGTCAGATTTTTTGGTTTTTGGTTCCAACCTACCAGAAACACAACATGCACAACACGTAGGACTGAAGACCCTGGACTGAAAGTATTAACAAACACGAGTGAAGCAACCAGGGTGAAAATGAATGGTTTCAATAATTATCACTCACTATATAAAGTTCAAACTGTTTCAGTTTCTTTGTTCAGTTTTCTATTTTAGCCACCACAAACAAATACATATGATGCATTAATAAATTTGTGTAGTTTGAAGTTAGAGACATTGAAAGTTGTAAAGATAAATTATTAAAGAAGTTTCTTTTTGTTTTTAATTTGGTCACTGAGCTGAATAGCAGTAGCTGTACGTAAAGGAAACATAAACTACATAAAACCTTAAACAGAAGTTGTAAAATAAAAAAGAAAACTGTTTCTGGAGGTAAATAGGATCGTCAGCAGTGTGTGTTTCACGGCTCTAATGTTTGAGGTGACTGGAGAATGTTATCTACCTCAAGTTGTCACTGAGGCTCAGCTGAGGAAATAAGAACTTGTTCGATCACATCGCTCTTTCAGAACTGATGTTATGAATGGATTCATGGAAGGAAAAATAAAGAAATAAAGCCTCTGCTACGTGAGAGGACCAGCAGAGTAGTGTGTGTTGTGTGTGTGTGAGAGAGAGAGAGCGTGTGTGTGTGTTCCGTTGTGAGGTGAAGCTGTGTGTGTTTCTGCTGTTGTCCGGCTCAGCTGGCAGGCCTCACAGGCTGGAACAGGAAGTCACTTGTGGGCGCACATGTAGAAGAAGGTAGCCCTGTAAATTGTATTTGTGCCTCTGAGTAATTATTAAAAGTGCTGAAATAAACCAGTGTGTCTCTGTGCTGATTGTAGCCCTGTGATTAAAGGAGCAAGTTGATCATGAATTAAATAAAATATGTTTTTGCCTCCTTTAAACTAGACAGCAAAATAAAGTTCTGGCCCAACATATGCCTGGATCCCCGGCCCGAGTCTGGCCTGTATACTTCCCTGTCTGGGCAGACTGACTGTTTTCCTCTGGTATTGACTGACACCCAGAAGATTTTCTGTGTGCGCGCCAGAGTAGGTCCAGATGTGGAAGTATCATCTGACGATCATGCTGTATATGAGCCAGATTCGGGCCAGAGGAAAATGAACATGTGGCCCAAGTATGGGCCAGATTGATTTTGGTATCTATGGCTCTCAATCTCAAACCATTGGTAGCCCGTGGCCTCACTACGGTCACTGCTCCACATCAGTTTGAGGGGTGATGCAGTGATAGCACGACATTTTGTTCTGTTATATTTCCATTACACATTGTGGCATTTTTCCTATAAAGAAAAAAAGACCCTCAGGGGTGACGAGAGGTGGCTCTTGCATTCTACATGATGTGCAAAAGTCTTGTTTTAATACTCAAAATAGTTCAGGACTCCCCATCAGATTAATCCAGCCCTAATCTGCTAAAATGTACCTTTAACTGCCCTTTTACCTCACTCCTACATGTGGCAAACTTATTGCCAAAGTTAGATTTGACTTTTTGTGTTTGTTTACTTTTCTGACTCTCTAATCTTTGCTTCTTTCTGTAGTTGTACCCTTTTACTGTATGTCTCTAAAAGTTAATCATATGAAACCATTTTGAGGGAAAAATCACGTCTTGATCTCAGTTTAAAGCCAATGCAACATATGACGAGAGGTCACCAGCAAAAATCTAAATCACAATTAATGAGTCTGAACATACAGACTGGTAATGATGATGAAGGGACAACATTCATCCACCAGAGGGCAGCCTTGCCTTCCTGTGAAATTGTCTTCATGCTGCAGCCGTTAATGAAGAGAATATCTCTGAGTCAAATCAGGCATGTTCACATTTTTCTATCAGTTCCAGATATGTGATAAGACGGTGACATGTTTACTGGCTTGTCCCTGTCCCATCATCCAGCCCCTCCGCTGTGGGAGGTGTCAGCCTCCTCCTGCCCCATCTGCACCTCCCCTGCTATTCAACTGTGGACAGTCAGCGCTCCAGCACCAACAGGCCTGACCCCGACTGGTCACATGGTGCCAGTCTCACACAAACGAACCATACCAACATCTGATTCAATTAGAGCGTGACCATGATGGAGGAGAAGAGGGAGAGCATACCAGAGCCTGTGTCCAAACATGATGTTTACAGAGTTTACAGCCCATCCTTCATAGGTCGTCCCCGAGCAGCTGTTACTGACAGCGCTGTCAGCATTCTTCAGCATGCATCCATTATGCATGGTGCAGAGAAAAGTATTGACTGTTTTTTAAAAGCTTAAAAGTTTCTTCCAAACTTCTGTTGCTCTAACTTCAGGAGGAAATGATGTCTAGCTGATTGCAACACGAATCCTGTTACCAAATAATCCAGGGCAAACAAAAGAACTTCATCTGCTGGATTCTTTGATTTCAGTCCAAACTCTTTTGACAAGAGCACCCTTGAGCTTTGGCCTTGAATGACCTTTGACCTTTTACAGCCTGTGGTTTGCTTTGCACCACTTTCTCTGCACAATCTGCCAGTCCAAAGTAGTGTCCGTCTGTTTGCTCTGTGCGTTGTTGACCAAATCGATAGGAGAGACTCGATGTTGACAGCACAAAGCTGTAGAAATATGTGCGTGAGAAGAGGCACAAAGAAATTTCACTGACTTCTCACAACCACTGTGGACAAAAGTAAACTGTTGACTGACGTGTGCGCTTCAATGTAATATTGTATGCTTGTGCCCACATTGATTCAAATGATGACTTTCATCTTTTTTCCATCCATTGAACAGTTGTTGATTAATCACACCAGCTGTGTGTCAGCAGAGGCCATGCTGCGTTGTGTTAGGGGCCGAGCAGGTGGACACAAGCACGCAGGTTTTACCTTTAAAAAAGTTTATTTACTTAAAAAAAGAAGAATATTAGGTTGAAAATTAACTAAATGGGGCCTTAAAACAGTTCAACAAAACAGAACTGAATGCAAAATACAGGAAAACTGGGGGGTGGACAAGTAATTTAACAACAAATAAAAAGGTGACAGGTGTGTGGTACAGTCCAGGGTCCGGGTGTAGCCACTTAAGACTATGTACTGCATTACATTATTTAAGTGGAAACTTTGACCTGCTGGTGGCGCTAGAGGAAAAGTCAGGAGATCACCACATTCAGTAGGATTCATTGTCAGGTGACCACAAACTAAATAACTAAATAAAATTTCATGTCAATCCATCCAATAATTGTCGAGAAGTGACAGTCTCAGCATGTGTGTAGCAAGTGTTTCAAAAATGCCAATAAACTGATGAAAAATCAAACTGTGTTGGACAAGACATCAATGTTTGTAGTCTGCTGGGTGCAGCCATCACATGTTGCAATGCAGGTCATTGTACAAACTATTTACAAAATGATAGATTAAAGAGCTTAAAGATTTATCTTACAAAAAAATCATGAATGTAAATTTACAAAAACACATATTTGTTGTTGCAGCCAGAGTCACTTCAGATGGCAACTGCAGCCAGTATAACACCTAATATTGATCATATTCCTTCATTTAAATGATTATTCCCCACAGTCCATTCAGATCAATATCTACTAAATCAACTGTGGTGTTAGAGTCCTGGGTGAGGCCACAGTGTACGAGGTGTCTACTCTATTAAACCCAGAGGAGTATGATATATGGAGGAGTGCAGCACAGTGGACTCAACCATGATGAAATTCAAATCCTCTCTTCACTTCAAAGGCTTCTGATCCCTGCTGCAGAATGCAAAGAAGCTCAGCTCTATCATAGCTTAAACCTGAACAATGATGTCTTCTCCCGCTGACAGTTTCTGTCTTGTTGCATCCTGTCACACTGAGTTACATGGTTCTGTGGAGGGTGAAGGCTGCAGTGTACTGCAGGGTGAGGGGCTGGTTCACTGTGGGCTGTGGGCAGAAGCTGCTTGGTGGAGTGTTTGCAGGCTGAAGTGAAAGTGGCAGAAACCACAGCGACATTCAACAAGCAGAGACTGAGGAGAACATAAAATACATTAAAACAACAACAATATAATGTGTCGTAATTAAGAAGTATGCACAGTATTTTTTTTTTACTTCTGGAACAAAACCACTGTTAATCTGAAATAGCACCTTTAAATGGCTCTAATGTACATGTACATGAGTGGTGAGATAAAGATTATTGCTGACACACTTGCACAATGACTTGAGTTTTGGTTTCTTCCTTACAGCCCGGCTCCGTCAGTGCAGTACAGTAGCCTCCCCTCTCAGTGGGCCAAGCTGCTCAATTCTGTCCAGGAGCTGAAGGGTTAAAGTGGGGAGGAGAGCGAAGTGAGAGCTGCGTCAAGTGACACAAGAAGACCGGAAGTTGTCCAAAGTTTCCATTAAAAGTGTAAAATATGTTGTACTACTATTACTACCACGTGTACCTCCCCCTCCTCCTTCTACTACCACTATTACTACTACTACTAATAATAGTAATAATAATAATAATAATAATGATAATAATAATGATAATGATAGATATATTGCAAGCAAGTGGAACTGGCTCCAGTCAGCCCATCTGGCTCACTGACTTACGGTGTTTGGAAACTGAAGAGTATGGACTGTTTTTAAAATGACATAATCATCAATAAATAAAAAAATAGATAAAAGTGACAGAGTAAAAATATTACAGGAAAGATAAAAATAAGTGCTATAACTTTTTCCCATGATCCTAAAATAACTATTGTGCTGTCTCAACATAATCCAAACTGTCTTCTCATGGTAATCATCATTGTGCCAATAAAACAGATATGGCTTATCATGCAAATATCAATTGTTTTGCATTTACTTGTGTTTGTCTATTTAGGGTATCAAGATAAAACTTCACTGAGTTATAGTTTATTCATTTTAATTCCGAATATATCCAAACCAGTAGCCTACTATATGTTAAATGCGACTGTATTTTTCTGTTGTTTAATTATTTTTATATCTTTGAGATTCTATAAGACTCCATATATAAATATGATATTGGTGACGTTTTTTTAAAGTCTACATTTCACTTACTGAAGATATGGCGAAGTAAATATAGCAAAGCTCTTATTTTGAAATTCCCATACCGTTCGCGCTTCCTGTCACGGTGTCTAGCTTGACAGCGCAGGTCTGAGCTGCAACATCAATAGCAGCCTTCTTCAGCATAATAGCGCTGCTGCTGCCGCTGCTGCTGCGGGATCCTCCGGGGAGCGGGGATAAGGCGACGGGGGTGTTTCTGTCAGCCCGCCGTCAGATGAAGCTAATTTCTGAGTGTCGTTGATTCTGTCTGGTCTTATCTGAAGGGAGGGTCCTGCTGGAGGAGGAATAACAAACCGTGGAAGGAGGTGACATGCCCTTCACTGCTTGGCGCAGTCGGTGCGCTGACCGCTGTCAGACGTGGACTAGGTGAAGACCGGAATGGTGCATTTAAATTTCTTTATTTAACGCGGTGGGAGCCTTTTCTCAGTTCTCTGTCTGTCTCTGGATTATATTCCGAGGGGGAATAACAGCGATATATGCCCGGTCGCCGAGCCGGAGCGACGGGAGAATGCAGCACAGCGGGTGTTTGGCTGCAGGTGGATGGCCAACCTGACCGTCCCAGCCGCCGCTTCCCTCCCGCTCAGCCGCCGCTGCCGCTGCAGCAGCAGGTCTGGCTTCACCCGGAGCTCTGAAAACAAACTGAAAACCAACAGAACGACCAAACCAGACAAATAAACCCGAGCCATGCTTCCAGGGGTCGGCGTGTTCGGCACCAGCCTGACCGCCAGGGTGATCATCCCGCTGCTGAAGAATGAGGGCTTCGCCGTTAAAGCGCTGTGGGGCCGGACGCAGGAGGAAGCGGAGGAGCTGGCCAAGGAGATGAACGTACCTTTCTACACCAACCGGATCGACGACGTGCTGCTGCATCAGGATGTGGATCTGGTCTGCATCAACCTGCCGCCGCCTCTGACGCGACAGATCGCAGTCAAAACACTGGGTGAGTCCGCTGCTGCTGCTGCTGCTGCGGCTGCGGCTGCTGCTGCTGCTGCTGCTGCTGCTGGGTGGGATGGATGCTGCGGCCCTGGTGTAGTGGGGGTTGATGCACAGGCCACCGGGCCACTTACACCTTCACATGTCACCTCTGTGGGTCTATTGTCTTTGAATGAAGCTTCTTAGAGCCCTGTGAGGATGGTGTTGAGTTCATAGGTGTGGCTGACTTATGCCATAAGCAGCATCATTTATCTTCCCTGCAAACATCTCTCTTTAATTGCTGAAGCTTCCCTCTTGTCTGACTTAAGTGAGGCTGCTGCTGACCTTCGGATTAGGGCATTAGACTGTACAGTACTTGTGGAGTCAGGAAGAATGTGTATAAGCACAGAAGTTGAAGTTTGACCTTTATTGACAGGATGCAGATGGGTATGAGTCTGAGTTTGGGGACTCCCCCTAAAACAAACACCAGACTTTAACCTGTGTTAGTGAAACCACTGACACAGAGAAGAGGCCTGGGTGCAGAGAAAGGAGACACACAAAGAGAGGCTGTTCCAGTTTAAATGTGGAGCAACGCAGCCTATTTTAGAGATCACATTTGGGAGCCTTGGAGCTGCAGTGAAAGAACGGTGGCAAGGTCTGCTGAGCTCTACTCCACACAGTCTGGCAGCAGAGCTCAGCTGGCACTTCGCTCTGATAGGTCAGGTTTGTGACTGCATGACAAATGGGTCCAAAGATGCAAAACATCCAGGGAGGAAATGAGTTACACATATTTCATGTTAGCTAAAACATTTGACAGTGGGTGCACAGTGCCAGCATTAATATTCTGGTTACTTTTACAAGGTAACATCCTCAGATTGTTTGATCAACAGTTCTGATTATATTCAGTTGACTATGATAAAAAACATCAAATCATCATGTGAGAAGCTGGAACCACTCAGTGTTTCCCTTGAGAAATGACTTAAATGATTAACCAGCGATTATCATTTATACTAGTACATAATATTCTGCCAACTGACTAATCACAATATCAGCTAATCATTTCAGCACTATTAGATTCATTGCACCTGCTCACAACAACGTCCATTCACGGTGCATTGACCAGTTTAAAAACATGTTGTGTGACATTTAGTGAATGTAGAGAGCGATGAGGAATGAAAGAGGAGAGTGATGTGAACACCAGGCGTTTCACTGCATCACGGTCAGTGTCTAAACCCCTCGGCCACAAGGGCAATTCAATTTATTCACTTTACTGAAATACTAAAACATGAACCTTTCAGTGCTTTAATAATCCGGTTATTGTTTAGGCTTTCATCTAACTAAACAGATTTGAGTAAAGTTCAAGATCTGATGTTACAGCCTCGTTTAAAAAGGTCAAAGCTCCAGCCACGTGCTGGTATGATGAAGCTTGTAGTCTGATGTTTGCTTCAGTCTGACTGGAGTTTTGACCCTTTAAGTCTGTTTCCCTTCTCCATCCACCTTGGAAGTGGGTGCCAGAAATCCCTACGCTGATTTTTACCACCTTAACTAAACAGGCTCCAGGGGTACGATCCAGACAATGACTGTGGTTCTAATGAGTGGGGCTGCCGTGACCATAGAAACGATGCTCCTCTTGTCTGTCACCGTCACATCAGCGCGACCTGACAGCAGCAGCAGTGTCTGCATGAACAGGGACAGAGACAGAGGAAGAGCCGTGGGACTGTGTGAAGGACGGGGGGACCCATGAGGACCAGGTCTTGTGACTGGACTTGGCTGATGATGAATTTCATAGGTGAAGGTCGACATGTTGTGACACGGAGCACGTGAAGTTTTACGTGTTTTTGAAATGGTTGAAATGGGCGTTTTAATTTTTGTGTCTGTGACTCCCAGTCTAAAGAGAGATAAGGCCTCTGTGGCTCCGTTCATTCTCACACTGCTGCCTTATTTGCTCAATGGCTTCAGTAAATTCCGTGGAATGGCAGCTTGAGCTAACAAGAGGGACAGGTATGAAATACAGTCGATGGTGTTTGTTCATACCATGACTGCACTAATGTACATGCTCGGGCTGAATCACAGGCTACATGTGCAAACAAACACTGAATCTCTTCGCTGCTGGTAAGGAAGTAAATTCCTCTCTTCATCCTGTCGATGCATGCGCCTGTGTGCAAAATGCAACCGTGTACGAAGGTTGCACAAGCCAGCTGATCCTGAGCCAGGCTCGCTGATCATGTCCCAGTGAACTTGACTCAACCTGCGCACCCGGCTGCCGCAAACTTGTCAATGGCCATTCTTCCTCTCCTTCCTCTCGGCTCATTTCCTCACGGCTTCATTGTGTGAGCGCCGCCTGTTCCTTCCCACCCACCTCTCTTCCTCAGCCACCGTCACCCAGCCAAGTCTGGGTCCGGTCCTATTTGCATTCTGTTGGATGACAAACATAACATACTGTTTGCACATTCTCTTGAATGATTAGGCCAAGTCAATATGTGCTTTTTGAGAGTGTGCACTTCTGTAGTTCTCCGTGTATCCATCAGGCAGATAATCAGTTATTGTACTGTACTGTTTGGGGCACTTCTATCAATATTATGCACATTTATAACATCATGATGCACAGCTGCACGTCTTTAAATTCCTTTCTTTGTCCGACCAACAGCTGAAAACTCAAACGGCAAACAGAGAGCAGATTCTCTCACTTGAGCAGCTGGACCCCGAGAATTGTTGGCTGTTTTCTTGATAAATGAATCAAGTGATAAATCAACGAACCAAGCGCTATAATGATTGACATGTTATTGACACGCTATTCATGGAACCTTTTCAAGAATCCAAGACACTGTAGAGCAGCCTGAGGTACAGGGAAAGATAGCTCAGGTAGCCCAGTTTGAAAAAGTTGCTTGGTTAGAAAAAAATATATAATATAATTATATTGCTGTTTTTCATATTTCAGTCTGTTTCTTACATAATTATGTTATTGTATTGCAGTTCAAGGTACAATGTGTAAAATTGCAAAAAAAATAATATATTTTTCTTCGATAATATTTCATATGACGGGAAATATTGCAATATTAGATACTATCAATTATCGATATATTCAGTATTATTGAATATCGGCCCAAGCCTAGCGTGGATATATTTAATAGGATTACAAATTGATGTGATGCTGATTTTTATTGTATTTATTGTCACAATAGCCAATAAACTATCAGCTTTGACTGCACAGGACGACCCTCCCACCAGCCGGAGTCAGTTATAACTCCTGATAACACCAATGAAGACAGACTGAAAACTAGTTAGTGCACGAGCAAAGACATTTACATAGGTGGCTAAATGTTGGGTGAAATGTGCAGCTTCTGCCGAGTGGTAGGATAATGGTAATGTTAGATTTTTTCTGCATCCAGCTTTGAGGAGAGACTGTGTTTTAGATTCCTGCGTCTGTCTTAAACCTCTAAGATACAGTTTAATAAAGACCAAACTCATGACGGTCTTGTTGTGAAATATCTTCCGTATTAATATCAGCTTTCCATTGAAATGATCCCTGTTACACATCAGATAAAATTTCAGTGTATTGCATCATTGTGATTCATGATAGTCGTAGGAGGGTTACACACTCAGTGAGCAGTCACTGACCAGAGCAGCCTGTGTGACGCTGCAGAGCTGACTTCCTCTTCTGTCAGGGTGTGTGAGCTGATAGTCCTGCACCTGTGGCTCATTGCTCACCTCATGGGCTGAGTTGATAAGTGTGATCAGACTGGAGGAATGTGAACTTTGGTTTTTTTTGTGTCTCCTATTTTCTGTCTTTATATGTGTTGTCGCTCATATTAACCTCAAACAGAGCTCCCTGCAGGGTTAGACCGAATACACTGTCCTGAAGTCAATGATCTCTATACTTTACAAGTGAGATACAACTGTCTTACGTGGTTTTGAATGTATCTTGTATTGTACTAGCAACCATAACAAACAGCTGCCCTAAAAATCATCACACATACCGCTGCCCTCGCTCCTTCTGGATTCTGAGTCAGAAGGTGATGAAGGTGATGGGTAGCTGCTTGTGAGTGTCACAGGTTGAATCCTGGAAAGTCAATCAAACAACTGCAAAAAGACACAAAACAACCACAGAGTTATGCAAAGTGACCAGAAAGAGTCACAGAAAGACTGAAAAGAGACAAGTTTCAGCCCCCCCCCCCCCGCTGTATCCCACTCCTACTGTATCTAGAAGGGGCAGGGGGGCCTTTTATAATTATTACTGTCTCCAAGCCCCATTGTCTCATGATCTGTCCATGACTCTGGGCTATTTGGTGTTACAAATAGCAGTGTACCAACCCCCCCCCCCACCCTTTCTTTCAACAGTTTGTAAACCTGCCCCCGGTTGGATGAGTAGACCGTATAGACCCAGGGCTGTGATGAAAATGGAAAAACACTGGTACAAGTCAACAAAATGCTCCACGTGTTTTTCAGGTTTTACCCGACCGAGCTCGCCCCTCAGTCCACCTCACTCGTTTCAGCAACCAGTCGGTCTTGTTGAGCAGCATCTCTCCTTCCACCAGGATTTCTGCCTCCTTTCTCTTTTTTACTACTGCGGCATTCCTGAGGCGTCTGATGTCACTCGGGCTTTCTCAGTGTGAAACACACACACACACACACACGCACGCACGCACACACACCAATCTGCTGTCATGTGTGAGCCTGAAGCATTTCTTGGCCACCAGTCTGTGAAAGTGCAGATTCAAGCTTCTTTCCTCTGTTTTTTCATCCATTCGAATACATTTGCATTTCCAGGACATTGCAGCCTGAGGAGTTCAGACAGACTGCTGTGTGTGTGTGTGTGTGTGTGTGTGTGTGTGTGTCAGAATCCTGTATAAGATACACAACAGTGTAGTTTGGTAGATTGTCAGTTTCTCAGTAATAAAGTGTTGCAGTGAAAAGTAAGACGGCTGGTGCCCTACTTTATTTTTTATACTATAGGTTTACAGAGTTGTTCCAGTTTTTGGGAGTCATTCACGTGGCTGTGAACAGGTGTTTCAGGTGTCACCTTATAAA